AGGAATGCCTTTTTTCTATAGTTTCATTTACACATGACAGAGAGAAACAGTTGTACTTAGAGAATAAGGGTTTGATCCCCTTAGCTGTATCATGGGTGGTAAATTAATGCCTAGCCCTGGAGGTGTGCAGGAGATCTTATGGGCACATGGAAAATGAAGTTGGGCATCAGTGACTTTTGTGACATGGTTTTCAAGAGTGCTGAGCAGCTTCTATGCAGTTGTGGAGATTTGAGGATGCCCAGAATAGCTGATAAATTACATCAGAAGTTTAACTAAAAGTTTAGAAGTCTAACAGTCTTGGAGAGAAAGGATAAAAGAAATGGATAAATTAATTAAGCTATTAGCACAATCTAATTTTACCAAAGATGTAACCACAGCATTTCTTTCTTATGAAATGAAGAGTTTTAGATGGGACATGAGTTCAGCTATTTGCGTTTATGATGAAGTGAAGGAAAAAGCATTGTTCAAATCAGGAGAGGAGATCATAATTGCTGCATGAGAAATGTAACATGGACAGAACTCATCTAAACAGAGTTTTCTGGGCAGACTATGACTTCCAAAAGAGAAAAGGTTTTTAACAGTTGCTTGTTGCACCATGGACATATAAGAGAACTCTCAAGCTTGGCCTCCTTTTTATTAAAACATAAATTAATAAAAATTAAAGGATGAAGCTTCCAGAGAGACAGTCCATCAACCAGCCCTCATTTGGGAAATGAAATATACTGAAAAAGAAATGCATTTGAAGAGCTTGTTTTAGTGGAGGATTTAGCAGAGAACTCAGCTTAGTACGTGCTAGTGCCAGAAACCCTACATGGACCGCTAGTTTAAAGAGGACATAAATCTTCCCTGCTCCTTATTACAGTTCGTATTCCTGGTTTTACAGCATAATTTGTTTGTGTTTGACTGCAAAGTCAAACTAGGACAGGAAGTGAATAGTGAACTGAACTTGTCCCTCTGCAAAGGAATTTTGCACTATTTAAGCTTATATGAATCACTGTAACTAGCCTCAAGCTGGCAGTGAAAGCTGCCTTTGCATCAGAGTTATGAAGAGCTAAAATACAATGTAGTGAAGTACTCTGTTTAAACATCGGCTCAACGTTTCAAGCACTTGTGTTTTTATGGCAGTGGGAATATCATCACAGCAAAAGAAAACACAGCTTTTCCTCACTGTAAAATGGTTTCATTGGAGCACTCCAGTTCAAAACTTGTGCCATTGCATGCTTCAAAGCAGAAAGAGGAGAATCAATCAAATAATTTGGGGAAAGAAGAAAAACATCCTTGAAAAGCTGACTTCTGGTTATTCTTTACGCAAAAATAGGGTTGAGTTTTTTTGTAATTTTATGACAAATGTTCCTTTGGAAACAAATTTTGAATGCTGCATACCAAGGAATAGCATAAGTTGGAAAAGAAAAAGTGAACCACTGATAAAGAAGTGCCATAACTGGAGCGCAGTTGCTTGATTCATCCTGGACACTATGCTACCAGTCCTGTACAGTGATGTTTGTAAGCATTAGGTGCAAAGTCTCTCAGGATAATGTTGCTGAAGTCGGAGTTATGTAGATATACTTGTGTAAACTGAGAGTCTTTCTAAAATGTTGTTCAGCTTGTGCACATAAATTATAAAAATGCTAATTCAAACAGCACTTGTAGGCAAATTGTAGGCAGTGGAAGAGCTATTCCAGGTTTCACTTCTTCATGCCCATGAGCATTTGGCTCAGAACCATAGGTAAATTTGTAGCATTAAATAGTGTGCAGTTGCCTGGAGAAAGGTTTGCAAATATGTCTAATTGGATTTGTGTTGCTGAGGAGGCAGGGAAAAGGTCATTAACAGAACTGAGCAGGGTTGGAACTAGATGGCCCCTCACCATCAGGGGAGAGCACTGAATACTGCTGGCAGTCCTGTCACCCACCAGAGCCTTCTGGCTGGCTTCTTCAGCAAGCTGTCCCCTCCTTGTAGAAGAGTCTTTCCTCCAGAGTCACCCCTGACAGAGTAGCCTTCCTAGGCCTTTGCCTTACAGCCATCTGCTCCCAAAGAAATCTCCAAGCAGACTCTTCCTCCTGCAGAGCCGCTTATTGAGCTCCAGGATGTGTTTGGCGAGACAGTCTCCTACAGGTCAGTATGTTGTAGAAAGGGAAATTGTGTGGCATCCGAGGATGAGCACCCCTGTTGGTGTGCTGCAGGTAGCATGATGTATTTATCCTCTCTCTCCACCATAACCTTGCAATTCACTGTCACGTTGCCGTGAGAAGAGAAACAGTGCACTAAGCAAAGACTTAATGTCAGTTGAAATGCCACCTCCACTCTCACCTTTGGGAACTGTTTATGTCTGTATTCCCTTAGCTAGCAGAGAAGCGTCTGGGGGTGCAGGCTTATGCTCGGTACCTCTTAGAGCCTTCCAGTCTTTGCTTGGATCAAACCCAGCTTCCTTCCCATGTTCAGATGTTTCACTGTTGAACTGGCTTCTCTTTCTCTAAGTCTGTCTAACACACACACTCTCTCTCTGCCTATTTGTCTGTCTATTGTCCTCCTCTGACCTCCTTAGGATAGTAATTTTATTTCATTTTCCTCTCATGTAAGTTTTATTACGGCTCTTTGGTTTTTCTTCTATCTGCTTTTACTGAAGTGGAAATTAATCTACATATTGATCAGTTATGTCAAGTTATAATGTGTTACTCACCTGCATTAGTGTGGCTGTACAGCTTTGCAAACTGAAGCAGTGGGTTCATGAAGTTGTACCATCAGCAGCGCCTGGGTCTCTTCAGAGCTCTGTGTAGGACTCACTGAGCAACCCCATTTGGATTTTTTTTACAATGATGAATCATTCTGGTTTTCCTAAGTTTATACATGAGAAAATAAATACACATCTGAACTGCATATCTAAGAATAAAGCAGATGCATTCAGGAGCATTGTATCTCATACTGTGACGTGTAGCATACTTCAGCCACTGCTGTCCTCAGCTAGCTGCTCTCAGAACAGCTCACGCCAATGCCATCAGTTCTCAACTGGGTGCTTGTGGGGAGACTATCTGGTAGATAAGCAGGCAGAGCCTGCGGGTTGATTTCAGAGGGTGGTGGAAGATGATTTTTCTCTTGTGCTGTTGCTGCCAATTCTGAGGCAGTATGTTAGGACTCAGTGTTGACTCTGAAGGTGCAGGCTGATACAGATTTGTTATAGTTTGGGCCAGTAGCTTGAGGGATTTTACAGTGGACAGCATTTACAATGCAATATGAAGATTGGATGAGATTTCTTAGACTGGACCAGAGATTGATATTTCTAACAGTTAATGATTTCATGCTGTTCTCATGTAAGAAGCACCAGATTCTAAAATACTGGAATTTATTTAGAGCTGATTTGTCCTGTATGTCTTGCGATATGAAATTTAGCAATGTTTAAGTGTCAAATATGTGATTTTAAGTACTTTTCTATGATAGTTTTCTTTAATAATGAAACAAGCACTGTGGAGAAGGAAGTTGGATTCATACATCATTCTGTTTTTCATTAGAAACCATTTTCTCTGGTTCTTGATCTTCAGTTCCCATTCAGAGGATCTACAAGAACCTGAAGAAAATCAAGATGCATAATTTGGATAAGTTAAAAATCAGTCTGGAATTGATGCATGAGAGAAATCATTACCAGAGCCAAGTGTCTAGTGATTTCTGGCTAAATAAACTGATACTGATTTGAAGAAAATAGTGGATTGATCCAAATCTCAGTTGAAGATCTAGAGTTTCTGATTCATATGGTGAGACTGCAGCTGAGGTATAATAAAGAGGAATATGTTAGCTTCCTGCTGCTTAATGCACACTGGAAGCCCTAATGAGGAAGCAGATTTATTTGTTTAGGTGAGGTCAAGCCGTCTTAAAACATAGCTGGTACTCTCTGGCCCAGAACACAAAATTCAGTAGATCGTCTTGCTCCATTTTTCTCCTAATAACTTCATAGCATGTTGTTGAGGGGAAAACCAACAATGAATAACTAATAAAACAGCACTCCTCAAGCTTAGTATCTTAATGAGAACATTCAGA